ATTTGTACAACATAAATTATCTATCGTTTTGATTGACATTAGCTTTTCCTTTAGTTGCTTCGATTATATTCAACTTTCTTATCTGCAATATTTAATGCATGAACCAATATATATTGAAAAATTTTCCTAGTGAGTTCATTGTCTAATCTTTTAATTATGAGTAGAAGGAGCAAGAGGATTAGACAATTGTCTAATGAATACCGAGTGGTAGGCAATGCCACACTGAAAAAAAAGTTTTTTTATACCCGGAATACTGAATATTTTTTAGTCGAGTTTTCTTGTACGAAGTAAAAGTCAAGTTAAATATTTTAGATTTAAGAAAACTGGTATTTTAAATCTGAGAATACCAAGTTTTTTAACAGGACTAAAACTAAATTCTATGTTACCATAGCAACCGTGACGGTGGCGCCACTATTTTGTCATTTCCGTCCAATCTACAGTGTACGCGTGTTTTTTAGTTATTAGTTTACCTCGTGCCTGAGTCTAGTTACCTAAATATTTATTTGAGTAAATTAAATAATTTATAAATTATAAATAAAAGTATTAATCATCAATATTACTTCCCCTTACTCCCTTACTAATATGGATTCTTGGATGCAAAAGAAGTTGTCAGAATGAAATTTATCATCTCCAACAAATTTATAACTCATTTTAGCAAATCAATTTATCATTTTATAAATCAATTTTTATAATAAGGTAGAAAACCCAGTTATTTTCACTGGCCTAGTTATTTGACACTTGCAATTTTATTCTAATTAAAAAAATAAAATGTTCTCAAAAAACAAATTATCTTAAAATTTATAATTCAAATATAATGTTTATTAAATTATCAGAGTTTTTAATTAAAATAAAATTGCAAGTGTCAAAAACTAGGTCTTTTACCTTAGTAATGTTATTAATTATAAAAAGTATAGTTTCTCATAATTATCCATCCTAAAGATTCGTGTCGACCAAGCGAGGTTAAGTCGGCCATATTGATTGTAGTATTATAATAATGAGAATCCGAACAAAAACAGTTTCACTGTAAAAAAAATCGCGCCAAGTCCACGTTCATAAGACTATTAAGAAAAAAAAAATTAGTTTTTTCTTTACAAAAAGATATAAAATAAAAAAATTAAAAAATCCAAGTAACCAATATGATTGTATATGATTTTCCGAAATTACAAAAAATTTTGTTGTAAATTTAAAAATAAAAAAAA